TTTAAATATAAAAATATAAATAAGAAAATTAAAGAAAAAATTGTAATTTATAAACAATATATAATTTATAAATATATATATTATTATATATAAATTATATACATAATTTATAAACAAAATTTTTAAATGGTATAATTTATTTCGAAAAAAAATTGAGATTTCTTATGTTATTATTATAATATTATAATGTTTCAAAACTTTATTGTTTTGTTTATAAATTACATTGTTTGTAATTTTTTCATTATTTTTTTTTAAATCTTCTTTTTTTTTATAGATTATTTTATGATATGATCTAAAAAAAATAATTAATAAATTTTTTAATTTTTAAAGTACTTTTAAGTTCTTTGATAATGATGATTTTTTATTAAAATTATTTTTAAATTGTTCTTAATTAATAGAAAAAAGAAAACTATTTTGATTTTTTATATTTTTTTATATTATACATTATTTATAATGTTTTTATAATTCATAATTATAAATGATTTCATATATTCTATATTCCTGTCTTTTTACAACAAGATATTTTAAATAAATTGTCTTTTTTAAAAGTTNTTTATATTATATATATTATATTATATTATTATTATATTATTATATATATATTATAATTAATATATATATTATTTACTTAATGAAATTATGTTATGTTATAAATATGAAATTCTACAATGTTTTTTTTAAATTTATATAATATATATAAATACTATATATAAATTTACTTTTTAATTCACAATATTAATAGTTAAAGCTAGCAAATATTATACAAATAAAAATATATAGAAGTAAAAAAGATACATTATAATGTATCAATTATTAAGAGCATGGACATGCTAAAAATTAGTATAATAAAGAATTAATATATGTATGCTTAATTTTTCACATTTATGTTTAAAAAATGAAAAATATTATCTGTAACAATATTTGTCAAAAAATAATTAACTAATTAGAAAATATATTTATTAAACTAATTATGAAGTATATTTATAAAATAAGAAAAAAAAATACAAGTATGACAAAAAGAGATTAAATCAAAAAAACATAATGATAATTGATAGCCAAGATTTGCTTTAATCAGCAAAATGCAATTCATCAGAAAATCAACAAAATATACAAGTATTGAAATATATATTATTAAATCTATGTATAAATATGACGACAAATTAAAATATATGTAAAAATGAAAAACAAGAATTAATATATATTCTAATAGTTTCATAAATATTATTTAATAATAAAATAACAAATACAGAAACAATCATAATATTAATAAATCATTTTGTTAAATTAATCATTTTAATAGAAAATCTAAAATATAAATAAAAGTTATGATATAGAATTGTAATGATTTATTATATTAAATTTATTACAACAATATAATATCAGAAAAAGAAAATTTAATATATTTAAGTTATATAATAATAAAATTTTATTTCCTTCGCTAGATAAAAAATTTGAAGCAAAAATATAAAAGAAATAAAAAACAAAATAAATACATATAGAATAATTAATTTATAATATAAATAAAATCAAAAAAATCATAAAGAGATAGCTTGAAATGAAAAGAAAATCGAAGTTATTTAAATTATATTCATTTTCGAGTAAATCACTTAAAAATTTTTCAAATATGAATGAAATTAACTAATTCTTTATATAATATATGGATGAATTGTTGATAAAAAATTATTTTTTTATATAAAAATAACAAAAAAATAAAATATATTTTTTTTCATTTAAAAATTATTTTATAAAATCGATTTTGAAAATTCATTCGATTATATAATATCTTAATTGCATACATTCAATCTTAATTTTTCAAAAATAGGGACTTAAGCAATATTAAGTCTTATTTTTTGTTTATTTTCAAATATAGAGTAATTGATAGTTTATTTATAATTAATCAAGGATTAACTAATTTCATTTACATTTGAAAAAATTTTTAAATTTGATTTATATAATATACAAACAAAGTTTCGTATGAAAAAATTTTATTTTATATTTTCGCTTTTTATATTTTTTAATTTAAGTTAATTAATTAATAAAATCTCTTTGATCTTATTTATACAAGAATTATGGACTATTCCGTATTTCTAAGACTTTTATTAACTAATTGAAAAAGATTCAAGACTAAAAATTAATCTGAAATATATATCTTTCTAACTATTGTAGATACATAGAATACATAAAATTGGATTGCATCAAAATTCAATGAAAAAGATTAAAACATAACAGACAACAATGTTAAGAAATGGAATAAATAATTTCATGATGTCATTAATGAAGATATAATAAAATAGTGGTTACCAGTAAAAAAAAAATAATTTTAAAAATAAATCAAATTGATAATCGCACTAATAAAATTGATTGCTATACAAATATTAACAGAAAATTAAAAAGAAAACATTTGTGCAATAAATTATGAACATTTTATAAATTTAAGTTTTAATTATATTTTATATATACAAATAATGAATATATCATATATAATGCATATATAATTTTATAATATATAATATAATATTCTATAATATATACAATATATTATATAAAATAATATAAGATAGAATAGTATATATATGAATAGTATGTAGAACAAAAAAAAGGTGAATGAATGAATGAAAATAGAAAATATAAGTGAACATATAATATATAAGTAAACATATAAGTTTCTAATGTCAAAAAGATAAAATAATTATATTATAAATT